AAAACTCTTTTAGCCCTACTTCTCTTGTAGGTCACAAGGGTGAATTTTGTTCTGCATTCCTGTGACCCATATTCAGCTGAAAGCGGGCTAAAGTCTACTGTTGGCTGCCATCACTCAGGCAGTCCAGACTCTGGAGAGATCCAGACTTTAATGTCGAGATCCATCCAGAGGCCTGACCAGCAGCTGGCTCAGCCTCTCAGCAAGCCACCGAAAGCCTGAGCCAACAGCACCCGCCCCCTCCACAGCCGGATGCTCCAGTGAGCGCTGACGGGGCAGAGCACAGAGCTGGTGACTGAAAGTCACCAGTTCTATGCTCACTGAAGACCAAGAACTGAGCGATCAGTGGTCTTGTCCTCAGTGTAGAGGCAGTGAGGGGCACGTGCAGCGTCAGATTGATACTGCATCCACCTATGTGAATATGTACGTCTGTTTTTTTCAAAACCCGCACTTCTCTTTTAAGGTCTATCTTGCATGTACACACACATATACTAAGGCCAATTTAAGCAAGAGTCAATTATCCTACCAGCATGTCTTTGGAGTGTGGAAGGAAAGTAGAGTACCCAATAAGAGAGTACTTCAATAAATATGACATTACACAGACTTAAAGATGCTATAAAGAATGAAATGATTAATTACCCACTAAATGCACTCTGCCAATATACTGTAGCAAGACTAAATTAACTTACTACTGTTAACTAGATTCTCTAAACAACCTCAACTAGTTCAGAGATATAAAAGCTTCCTGGTGCACACCTTGTGCATACAACCCCAACAGCAGGGAGGTGTATGCGCTCTAGTGAATGGGTTACCCCTGTAGGTGTATAAAAGTTCCTGGTTCCTGGTATACAATGGGGCCCTTTTGTAGGTGGTGCACTTTCTCTTTAAGAATGAATAACAGAGACTAAGCGGAAAGTAAGGGCAGTCTCCATTTGGGCTAACAATATGTGGCAAACGTGAAAGATATGTAGTTCAGTTCACCACTTTCTGGATGGCGGCTAATAGCTTAGTGATCAGCGCTTCCCAGCGATCAGGTCACGGATTGTTACTCCGGCCGCAATCTCTCTTTGGACCCCAAAGCTGCAGCTATTCTCTCTCTCAACTCAGTCTCTGAAGGCAGCTCTAACAGGCTCAGATGCAGGTCTGTCCCATCTCCCTGATATGGGGGAACAGGCACAGCAACAGGCCCTCTTAGCTCCTCTTGAATGGCTCCGGTCTATCAGCAGTGGGATACAGCTTACCATGCAAAGACCTGCTTTGCAGGGAGAAGAAACAAAGAGATTGTTCCGTCTATACATGTCAGGGCTCCCAGGGTATGACCAGAGGTATGTGACTGACGCAGGGAAACGCAGACTTCAGATATGTTATAAACAATATAATTTATTAACACTAACAATACAAACATAAACGCAGTGCAATACTAAAACATAACACAGTGCAAACAAACCAAACCAACCACCCACAGATGACAGTACATACAATGCAAGCGTCGTCAGGCAGGCCGGGTCAATATCAATCGGGCAGGTAGGTACAGGGGGAGCAAGCGGAGAATGGTCGGGGTCACAAGCCAAGTTCAGCAGGTAGCGGGCAGCGTGGTACAGAGGGTCAGGCAGAGGAGAATGGTCAGACAAGCCAGGGATCAGGAGCAGGAGAAAGGTCAGACAAAGCCAGGGATCAGAGCAGGGTCAGCAACGAATCAGACAGGAACAGGGAGCAGGAACAGGATACAGGGCCCAGGAGAAAAACACACACCAAGGCAGAGTCTGCAGGTCTGGCCATCCCTTAAATACACCAGTATAATCAGTTCCAGGTGTTTGACTGGCTGCAAGGTTGAGTCTCTGATTGCTGGGAGCACCCGCTGGCCAGCCCTGGTACTGCAGCTCATAAGGCAGGTGAGTCCCACCATTGCTGGCCAGTCCATTCCTGACAACATAGAGCCCTGTGTTGTATGTCATCACAGGCCTCTGGACTGTGATTAGACACAACCGATCAGTAGGACCTGGCCATGAATCATTGACTGGGACCTGCTTTCAAAATCACACTACATATGTCTTAGAGGAAATCGGTGGGGGCATGTGCGCGCCCTGAACCCAGAAGCAGGAAGCGATGTACAGGTACATGTACAGTGCAATGGGGGCAGCCAGTCCTACAGTTGTTAAAGTCATGGGCACACTTGCAAGCCTAGCATTGTTTTTAGAGTTTGTGCTATGGCTTCCTTCAGCACTACATGAGAACCTTGGCTTTTTCAGGCAGCAGCAGTCTGGTGCCCATCAGATGTACTGGAAAGTGCTTCAGGATTAACTTCTCTTCACCAAATATTTTCCAACTTTATATAAAAATATACCCCAAATAAATAAGAACCAAACAAGCTGATGACAAATGTATTTAGCAGTCGTATTTTCTTGGGCATTAGCTGAAATATCTGTACAGTTAATATGGGAATGGTCAGGTGTCTGGAGATGAGCCATGGAAATTGCCAATCTGTTCATAACGTAGACCTTTATAAATGTTGTCCTGAGCTGGCCATGGTCCTTTAAACATTTCAACAACTCAAAAATCAGCTCACGATGCTCAATCTCTGGATATGGATGTTCCTGGGGCTTGCAGGTAAAACTTACTCACCATCACATATCTTTTCTGTTGCAGCTCAGACAATTGCATGGTAACATGAAAGGATATTGTTCTTAAAACAGAAATGGTGTTGTCTTGAAGTGTATGTATGTCCAAAACATTTTTTCTGTTTTGGATCCATTGCAGAAATATTATAAACCTATTATGTTTTTATTGGTGTCTGTGTCCCTGCTTGTGAGACTCACCTTCTCCATTTGTCCTAGATTAGTGACCATGGCCAACAAGATAGAACGTATTGGGAAACCCAACATTTTAAAATTATTACCAGAACAAAACATAAGGGAACATTTTCCAAAGTGGACAGCTGTTCCAGGGACGACTCTCCAAAAGGGTATTTCCTCTCGCTTTGGAAAACATAACATAGTTACATAGTTAGTCTGGCTAAAAAAAACAAAAGTTCACCCAGTTCAACCATAAAAAAAAAAGTTAAAATCCTATACCTACAGTTGATCCAGAGAATTCTCTCACTTCCTATTACATCTCTGGGAAAGTGAGATGGGGCATCAAAAAAAATTAACTGGCGCATGGATTACCATTCCCTACAAAAGGAAAGATAGCCCTGAGTACAGGGAACAATGATTTGGGGGTTTCTTATCCCTGCAAAGCAGGGAGAAAAAACAGACATAAAGTAAAGTAAAAGCAACACACATTACACACTGTTAGGCACACAATTAACCTCTTGATTGCCCCTAGATGTTAACACCTTCCCAGCCAGTGTCGTTAGTACAGTGTCATTGTACAGTATTATCACTGATTACTATATTAGTGTCACTAGCGATGTCAGTGACCCTCCCAGATAGTATCTGTTAGTGCCAGATTGCCCATCGCTCTATCACAGGCCCACTATAAGTTGCTGATCACCGCCATTACAGTATGGCGTGTATAGCTGAGTACAGGGGCGGACTGACAACTCATGGGGCCCCCGGGCAATAGGGGATCATGGGCCCTTGTGTTCTTGCCCAAACTCAAAAAAGCCTATGAAAAAGGTACCAGGGGCAGCTCATGGGGCTCCCTACTGACCCCGGACCCTCGGGCAGTGCCCGAGTTTCCAAATGGTCAGTCCGCCCCTGGCTGAGTATATTCCATCAGACCAGGCAACTCTTTTCCGATCTTCTTCTGTCCAATTTTGGTGAGCCTGTACGAATTGTAGTCTCTGTTTCCTGTTCTTAGCTGACAGGAGTGGCACCCAGGGTGGTCATCTGCTTCAAGGTTCGACGTGTTGTGCATTCAGAGATGGTATTCTGCTTACCTTGGTTATTTGAGTTACTGTTGCCTTTCTATCATGTGGAACCAGTCTGCCCATTCTCCTCTGACATCAAGGCATTTTCTTCCACACAACTGCCACTTACTGGATATTTTTTTTTTTGGACCATTCTCTGTAAACTCTAGAGATGGTTGTGCATGAAAGTCCCACTAGATCAGCAGTTTTTGAAATACTTAGACCAGCCCACTTGGCACCAACAACCATGCCATGTTCAAAATCCCCTTTCTTTCCCATTCTGATGCTCGTTTTAGAATTTCAGCAAGTTGTCTTCACCATGCCTACATGCCTAAATGCATTGAGATGCTGCCATATGATTGACTGATTAGCAAATCGAGTTACCAAGCGATTGAACAGGTGTACCTAATAAAAAAAGGTGAGTGTATGTACTGTATATATATACTGTATCTCCCTATATACACCCTAAATATATTTTTGAAACATAATTTCAATCATGCAAATACAATATTACTTACAACAGGGGTGTCTGCCTCTTATCTTTGCAGCTTGACTATGGTGGTGTATAGGGAACTCCATGCACATAGTACTCTAGACCTTCAAAGATCCAATGATGCCACTTTTAAAGGTCGAATGGCCTACATTTTGTCCCCCTTGCATGCCTGGTGACCTGGCCCTGTATTCTATATAGACCTATCCACATAACTCCTGGCCTCTCTGTTGCAATGATGGAGGCTGGACTATGCGTACTGTGATGCTGCATCCGCAACAGCAGCACCTTTCCCCCAGAAGCCCACCACCCTCCTTTACTCCCTCTTTGCACCATTTAGATGTCGGAAACAAGAGGTCCAGCCCTGTCAACACACCTAATCATTCCAAGTTGTAGCTGACCCAAGGTTATGGAGTCTCCTGATGTAACAGGTGTAGCATCAGTGATTTTCTCAGCACTATCATAGAGTCAGTATGCATGCGCATTAATACCTCAAATACCTGGAAGTATTTAGTTTGCTCTTTCTTGCTGAATATAGCAATGGGGGAGCAAACAGAAAATAATTATATGCTCTTGGGAAGTAAGAGTAAAGTTTAAACTTTTCCAAGAGTTGGCAGCAAATTTTAGGTGTCTGTTCCACCAAATATTAGTAAACTATTTTTTGATTCCTTTGCAGCTGCTGCTCCTCGGTATGATGATGATGATAAGATTATTAATGGCTATGAGTGTGCCCACCATTCCCAGCCTTGGCAGGTTTATTTCACCTATAATGGACAACGTTGGTGTGGTGGCTCCCTGATCACAGCAAGTTGGATCATATCTGCAGCTCATTGCTATAAGCAGTAAGTTCTGTGATTCTTCTTTGTAGATTGGTATTACTTGGCAATCCAGAACAGGATTGGAGGAAAAGAAATGTAATCTCCAAACACGGAAAGGTTTCTTCACAGTGAGAGCTGTGAAAATGTGAAATAGACTCCCTCAAGAGTTGGTTCTGGCCAGCTCAGTGGATTGCTTCAAAAAAGGCCTGGATTGATTCTTAGATACACAGAATATAACTGGATACTAACGTTTATAGGTAAAGTTGATCCAGGGAATATCTCTCTTGGGGGATCAGGAAGGAATTTTCTTCCCAGCAGGAGCAAATTGGACCATGCTTTGCTGTTTTTTTTTTTGCCTTCCTCTGGATCAACTGTGGGTATAGGATTATAACTTTTTTTTCTTTTTTTTTCTATGGTTGAACTGGATTAACTTTTGTCTTTTTTGAGCCAGACTAACTATGTAACTATGTAAGAACACAGACCAAGCCAGTGGCCTAGGGCCAAAATGGCTTGGATCTCTGAACAGGATTAGAGAGGGTTGCCATAAAAATCTGATTTATAGTTGTCTGAACAATCTGACCAGTGGGAATCCCCTCCATCATCATGCAAGAGTCTACTCCATCACGGTTAGGAGTATCCTTGCAACAAGTCAGGACGGGATGCCATGACTGGAAGCTTTTCGGCTAGGCATTGGGAGGTACATAGATGGCCCACACCTATAGCAAGGGCATTATTCAACTTTGGTCAAAGCACCCCATACCTGCATAGGCAGTGTTTTGGTAAAGACGAACATACCTTTTAAATGTGACACTTGGTGAAGAATTTGAGCATTCGAGTGTTTTAGAAAATGTTACTCTTCTCCACTACACGTTCATTTTAACCAGTTGCCCTCCACCCTATAACAGAATTACTGCTACAGGGTGGCAGGGCTGCACAAAATCACATATACATACATGATTTGCATTTCTGGGTAGGGGGGCTTGCTATCGGCTGCTGGGGATGTCAATCACCAGGTCCCAGCTGGCGATTCCCAGCTGGGACTCGGTGGTCGTCAGTAGGGCTGAGAGGGGAGAGATCTATGTGTAAACAATACAGATCTCTCTCCTGTCAGCATGGACATGCTGCTTTGTATCTCTCTGCACAGCATGTCTCCCTAGTAAAACACACACAGCACGCAATGTGAAACATACACAGCACACAGTTAACCCTTTGATCGCCTCATATGTTAACCCCCTCCTGCCCAGTGTCATTAGTACAGTGTCAGTGCTTTTTATTAGCACTGACACTGACCTTTGCAGCTGCTGCTCCCCGGTATGATGACCGTGTCACTGGGATGTTAGTGGCAGGCAGTCAGTTCCCACCAAGTGTCAGAATGCCCACCGCAGTCCCGCAGTACTGGTATAAGTCGCTGATCGCTGCCATTACTAGAAAAAAAATAAAAATAAAAAATTGCAGTATATATACCGCCATTTGTAAACGCTATAACTGTAACCTAAGCCAATACACTTATTGTTTTTTTTTTAGTAAAGACGTAGCAGAATACATTTTTGCCTAAATGTATGAAGAAATTTGATTTTAAATTTGTTTTATTGGATATGTTTAATAGCAAAAAGTAAAAAATATTGGTTTTTTTTTTTTTATAAATTGTCAGTCATTTTTTGTTTTTAGTGCAAAAAATAAAAAACGCAGAGGTGATCAAGTACCACCGAAAGAAAGCTCTACTTGTGGGAAAAAAATTGCATAAATTTCATTTATGTACAGTGTTGCATGACCGTGCAAATGTCAGTTAAAGTAACGCAGTGCCGTATTGCATAAATGGCCTTATCAGGAAGGGGGGGTAAATCCTCTGGAGGGCAAGTGGTTAATATTCTCAGTTCTAAAAAGTTACTGAAATGGGATTAGCCATGAATTTTATTGAAAGAAATATTTAACAGAAACCATTTACACATTGTCTGTAGTAACCCTTTAATATGTACAGTTCTTCTTTATTCTTATATCCAACTTGCACAGGCCCAAGTACCTTATTGCTCACCTTGGGGAACACGACACTACTAAACATGAAGGAACAGAGCAGCATATCCAGGTGGAAAAGGCTTATCAGTACTTCTACTATAACCAGTATTACATAGATCATGATTTCATGATGGTCAAACTAGCTGAGCCTGCCCAGTTCAATCAGTACGTCCAACCCATCTCAATAGGCACGTCCTGTCCGACTGAAGGAAGTCAATGTCTGGTGTCAGGGTGGGGAAACCTGAAGACCTCTGGAGGTAAGTTCATTTTCTGGGATTTAGAAATAATTGTTGAACTTTATTCTGAAAAAACAAAAAAGGGAAAACCATATACATTTTAAGAGAAACTAAGGGCTATCCTGAGCACATAGGAAACAGGGCACACGACAGGGTGGGCTGGAAGGCAGGAGAAGAGTTACGAATGGGTAGGGAATGATTTTAGGATATGACGTAAGGAGCAGGGAGGAGGTGGTCAGAGATTAATGAAACCTTGAGGAGGTACAGACAAATTGGTGAGCAGTTTGGCCCACACTCTTGGAAGATGTGTAAATATGGAGTGGCCAGCCCAATCCCCGAATCTTAATCCAATAGAAAACTTGTGGGGTGACATCAAAAATGCAGCTTTTGAGGCAAAACCAAGAAATAGAGAAGAACTGTGGAATGTAGTCCAATCATCCTGGGCTGGAATACCTGTTCACAGGGGCCAGAAGTTGGGTGACTCCATGCAACACAGATGTACAGCAGTTCTCAGAAACAGTGCTTATACAACCAAATATTCATGAAGTCATTCAAAGGAAAGCAAAATCTTCAAACATTTTTCAGTTTATATAGTGAATGTTTGAGTTTGTAAAGAAGAATACAAACACTGTGATTTTTTTGAACCGTCTAATATTCACTTTTCTTCAATTTTGTTTAGAGGAACAACACAAATTCGATGTATTTTTCTTCATGTTTTGATTTGGAATAGAATGTGTCGTGTTCCCAATGCATTTGTGTGATGGAAATAAAAGCTATTAGAAGGATTTTGAGCTTTATTCACTTTTTTTCAACACACTGCTATTATTTTGAACACAACTGTAATTAATCACACATAAGTTTAAGGAACTGAGGTAAGGCAGCAGTAGCTGTGCTTTCTGTCAGTTCCCTGACAGCTCCAGGACAGCTGATTGGGACAAAAGAGTTTCTCTCACCAGATCAGTGGTGTTCCCTGCAGTACACACCCCCGCCCCCTAGTAAAACACTCCCCCTCACACAGTTAACCCTTTCCCTGAATAATAAACTTAACCTCTTCCTCCCCAGTGCCATTAGTAGTGTCAGTGTTTTTTTTTTTTGCACTGATCACTGTATTGGTGTCACTGGGGATGTCAGTGACCCCAAGTCAGTACCCCCCAATGTCAGAATGTCCGCAGTCCGCCATAAGTCACTGATCGCCGCCATAAGTCACTGATCGCCGCCATAGGTCGCTGATCGCCGCCTAGGTGATCGAAGTGTAAGCGGGTACCTGTCAAATTCAGGTACCCACTCCTTCCGCCCCCCAAAGGAGCCAATCCTTAATGGGGAGTGGGGGACCAGTCTTTAAAGCTCAATTCCCCTTTTGGATGGAGCTCCGCTTTAATCTGGAACTGCACTGTGATTAAAATACTTATTGAAAAGAAAAACTTTCCCAAAATAATGTAAATGATAATGTAAAAATGTCGATGTGTATAACATCACCTGTTTCTTAAATTATTCTGCATTATAGTTGATAACAATATGTTTTACTTATTATTATATTTATTTTTTAGTGCAGTATCCTGAAGTTTTACAGTGTCTCGATCTTCCTGTTTTGTCGGACGCCAGCTGTAAAGCTTCTTATCCAAATCAGATCACTAAAAATATGTTCTGTGCTGGGTACCTAGAAGGTGGCAAAGACTCATGCCAGGTGAGTATTAAAGATAAATAGAAATATGAATATTCATCAATGTCTTTACACTGTATTTTTTGGATGGTAAACTTATCCATGGCAGACCGTATGACTGCTATAACCAGTGTGGGAACTAACATTCAGGAAAGGGGGGCCCTGGTCAGGACCAGAAGGTAAGTTGTGTTACCAGGGGCGGACTGACAACTCATGGGGCCCCCGGGAAATAAGGGATCATGGGGCCCCTGTGTCCTTGCCCAAACTCAAAAAAACCTATGAAAAAGGTACCAGGGGCATCCCATGGGGTCCCCTACTGACCCTGGGCCCTCGGGCAGTGCACGAGTTTCCAAATGGTCAGTCCGCCCCTGTGTGTTACCTAATGTCTGTCTGCATGTTCTAAGTTGCCTATTCTGTATCTCCTTACTCCTTATGCAATGGTGTACGTATCTTATTCTGCATGCTCTCATTCTGTAAACAATGCTTTTCATTCCCAATTCTACAGCACATCATTCCATATACCATACTGTACAATACTTTTGCACTCCTGTGTTATGTATGCCATCCTGTATACTTCCTATACCACTGAGCCACATTCCATATGCATTGCTGTACATTCCCTATTCCACAGTGCCCCATTCCAAACGCCATGCTGTAAGACCCCTATGCAGCCAAGCCTCATTTTGTTTGTCACGTTGTATGTTCCGTATGCCTCTCTGCCCCATTTAATTTGCCATGTTGTGCATTTCCTATGACATGACGATCCATTATGTATGCAACTTTGTACGATCCCTATCCATAATGCCTCATATAACATGCTGCACATTCCTTATTATGCACCATCCTATTCTCTATGCCATGTACAGTATTATGTTCCCTATTTTGCAATGCCTCATTCTGAATACAAAGCCTCATTTTGTATACCATGCTCTACATTGTGCCACTGCCTCATTCCATATACCAAGCTGTTTGTTCCCTATCACCAGTGCTGGGACAAGGTCATCTAGCTCCCAGGGCGCACATATGTTCCCCAGCTGTATGAGCAATATGGGTCAGCAAAAATCCCCTTCCCCCAAAAAATCAAGCACTAAAATGCATGCCTACCCCCTAAGTATAAATTTCCCTTCCTCCCAGTAGCTTGTCTCTTCCAGCATTAAAGTGAAGTTCCACTCACACTGTCAAAAAAAACTACAAAAACTGTAGCTGCTGACTTTTAAAAAACAGCCACTCACCTGTCCCACAGTGCCCGCTCCGCAGCCCGTTTCATCAGCCGTCTGGTGTTCCAGGCGCCAGCATCTTCAGTGTGGTTATCCGGCTGTGACAGCTTGCAGCTTCACAGCCGGGTGCCTACTGCACATGCCTGAGCCGCGCTGCGCTTCCAGAATGGCCCCGTAGTCTTCTGGGACCTGTCACGTGTCTCAGAAGACCACAGGAAGGGAGGGGGGAAGGACAACTGAATGGCCCCATAGTCTTCTGGGACCTGTCATGTGTCCCAAAAAGACTACGGGGAGGGAGGAAGGGAGGACACATTCCACATCCGATCGCCTAGGCTATCGCAGTGGAAGTGGGAGCTGGTACCTGTCAATTTTGGGAACCCGCCCCCCCCCCCACTCCCCAAAGGTGCCAATCCTTAATGGGGAACGGGGGACCAGTCTTTAAAGTGGAACTTCCCCTTTTGGGTGGAGTTCCGCTTTAAGTTTCCAGAAATAGTGATGCCACTGTCATTACTACTGTCAGCTTGCAGAGGCAGGAACTCTCCTCCTGGCACCCCCCACCCCACATGACACCACAGCGCCCAGGGCAGCTACCCCTCCTGCCCTCCTTCCCTAATCCTGGCCCTGCCTATCACATACTGCCTTATTTTGTATATAATGCTATACGTTTCCTATTCCACACTGCCTTATTCTGTGAATTTATGAATTTATCATGCTGTATGTTGCTCTATATTCCATGTTCAGACTTTTTCACTCTGTGTGGCATGCTATACATTCTTTTAATTTACACTGCCATTCTGTACACTGTGCTGTACACAGATCTAGCAATAGCAAGGAGATTTGGGAGCACTTCATGCTTCCTTCTGCAGGCGAGCTTTATGGGGATGCTGACTTCATTTTCCAGCAGGACTTGGCACCTGTCCACACTGCCAAAAGCACCAAAACCTGGTTCAATGACCGTGGGATTACTGTGCTTGATTGGCCAGCAAACTCACCTGACCTGAACCCCACAGAGAATCTATGGGGCATTGCCAAGAGAAAGATGAGAGATATGAGACCGAATAATGCAGAAGAGCTGAAGGCCGCTATTGAAGCATCCTGATCTTCCATAACACCTCAGCAGTGCCACAGGCTGATAGCTTCCATGCCACGCCGCATTGAGGCAGTAATTGCTGCAAAAGGGGCCCAAACCAAGTACTGAGTACATATGCATGCTTCTACTTTTCAGAGGTCCGATATTGTTCTATGTACAATCCTTGTTTTTATTGATTGCATGGTAATATTCTCATTTTCTGAGATTGTGGATTTGGGGTTTTCATGAGCTGTAAGCCATAATCATCACAATTATGACAAATCACAGCTTGAACTATCTTGCTTTGCATGTAATGAGTCTATCTCATATATTAGTTTCACCTTTTAAGTTGCATTACTGAAATAAATGAACTTTTGCACGATATTCTAATTTTTTTGAGTTTCACCTGTACATTTCTTTTGAATTTTGTTTTGCTATTCTGTCTCTCGGTGTTACAATACACCTAACATTCGATTTTTAGACTGATCATTTCTTTGTGAGTGGGAAAAAATTCAAAATCAGCAGGGGATCAAATACTTATTTCCTTCACTGTAGTTCACATTGGGAATATTTATCATGTCACTATTTTGAATTTGAGAAAAGCGCCATTGTTATTGTATAATTTTCAGTGACATTTGCAATCAGACCTCTTCCTGTTCAATTGATACCCACTATTTGGTAATATAATAGGTTTGGTATGTTTGCCTACATGCATCTGTGTAAAATGTCTTTGAGACCCAAATGAACAGTCACGAGCAGGGGTGGACTGACAACTCATGGGGCCCCAGGGCAATAGGGGATCATGGGGCCCCTGTGTCCTTGCCCAAACTCAAAAAAAGCCTGTGAAAAAGGTACCAGGGGCATCTCATGAGGCCCCCTACTGACCCCGGGCCCTCGGGCAGTGCCCAAGTTTTCAAATGGTCAGTCCGCCCCTGGTCACGAGTCCTTCTGACATTCCAGCTCTGTCTTAATCAGCTAAAATGAAACTGCAAGCTTAGGTACCAAAGCAAGATTTAGAATTCTACCACATAACTGAAATAAAGTGTTTTTTTTTAAATGTTCCAGCATCTATAACTTTTTTGTTCAGGTTTTGAGGTACAATGGTGAATACATACTGTATTTTTCGCTCCATAAGACGCACCTGACCATAAGACGCACCTAGGTTTTAGAGGCAGAAAACAGGAAAAAAAAAATTCTGAACTAATGGACTGCAGACATAGTACAGGAGATGACCAGAGACTGCGGACAGCACAGGGATGACCAGAGACTGCGGACAGCACAGGGATGATCAGAGACTGCGGACAGCACAGGGATGACCAGAGACTGCGGACAGCACAGTAGGGATGATCAGAGACTGCGGACAGCACAGACCAGGATGCAGACAGTACAGGAGACTGAGACTGCGGACAGTACAGGAGATGACCAGAGACTGCGGACACACAGTACATAGTACATAGTACAGGGATGACCAGAGACTGCAGGACAGGGATGACCAGTACAGGGATGACCAGAGACTGCGGAGACATAGTACAGGGAGATGACCAGAGACTGCAGACAGCACAGGGATGACCAGAGACTGCGGACACAGTACAGGGTATGACCAGAGACTGCGGACACAATACAGGGGATGACCAGAGACTGCGGACACAGTACAGGGGATGACCAGAGACTGCGGACACAGTACAGGAGATGACCAGAGACTGCGGAGACAGCACAGGGGATGACCAGAGACTGCGGACACAAGTACAGGGGATGACCAGAGACTGCGGACACAGTACAGGGGATGACCAGAGACTGCAGACATAGTGCAGGAGATGACCAGAGACTGCGGACACAGTACAGGGGATGACCAGAGACTGCGGACACAGTACAGGGGATGACCAGAGACTGCGGACACAGTACAGGGGATGACCAGAGACTGCGGACAGTACAGGGATGCCAGAGACTGCGGACAACACAGGGATGACCAGAGACTGCGGACAGTACAGGAGATGACTGCTGACCTTTGGGGAGGTGGGGAGCGGGTACCTGAATTTGACAGGTACCCGCTCTTACTTCCTGCGGAGTTGTTCTTTGACCTTACCTGTTCCTCTATCCAGCCGCGCGCTGTCTTCCCGGCTTCTGTAATGGCGCTCGGCATGACAGCCGGGTGCCCAGTGCGCATGAGCGAGAAGTGCTGCGCTTTGTGATTGGTCCGGCGGCTTCTGGGATCTGTCATGTGTCCCAGGTACCGCCTTACCATTCACAAAAAGCACCGCTTCTTGCGTATGCGCACTTGGCACCCGGCTGTCAAGCCCAGCGCCCACACTACAGAAGCCGGGAAGACAGCGCGCCACTGGATAGAGGAACAGGTAAGGTCAATGAACAACTCCGCGGAAGTAAGAGCGGGTATCTGTCAAATTCAGGTACCCGCTCCCCACCTCCCCAAAGGTCAGCAGTCATCTCCATAAGGTCCCACTGCAGAGCTGAGCGGCCGGCCCGCTATTCTGACACGGCGGCGGTGGAAATACCGGACCGGCCGCTCCATAAGACGCACTGACATTTTCCCCCCTTTTTTGGGGGGGAAAAAAGTACATCTTATGGAGTGAAAAATACGGTACTTTTAGAAGCTGAAGGATGGTTTATTCTATGCAAATGAGCACAAAACTGAGTACGCAATTATTAGTGGTCTTATGCTTTTTATAATGCCCTACACTGATGTATCTCAATGTTCACAGGGGGATTCTGGTGGACCGCTGGTTTGCAATGGAGAGCTGTATGGAGTGGTCTCCTGGGGTCAAGGATGTGCGCAAAGTGGATATCCTGGTGTCTACACCAAAGTCTGCATCTATTTTGACTGGATTAAGAACGTTATTGAGAATTATTGAAGTGAACATTACACCAAAGCAAATTTATATTAAAGCATTGTACATTTTCCCAGCATCTCTGAGTGTCCATATTACTTTACACTGTCTGTTGTCCTTAACCACTTGCCCTCCAGAGGATTTACCCCCCTTAATGACCAGGCCTCTTTTTGCTACTCGGCGCTGCACTAATTCAACTGATAATTGCGCGGTCATGCAATGCTGCACCCAAAAGAAATTTATGTCCTTTTTTTCACACAAATAGAGCTTTCATTCGGTGGTATTTGATCACCTGTGCGCTTTTTATTTTTCACGCTATAAACATAAAAAGGCCAAAATTTTGAAGAAAAACAATATTTTTTACTTTCAGCTATAAAAAAAATATATAGTAAACTCAAAGTTGGTTATAAATTTAGGCCAAAATGTATTCTGCTCCATGTTTTTGGAAAAAAAAAAAAATCCCAATAAGTGTATATTGATTGCTTTGTGTGACAGTTATAGTGTCTACAAACTATGGTATAAATACTGCAATTTACGCCATTTTTCTGCTATACAGCGCTGCGCTAGTTTAACGGACAATTGCGCGGTCATGCAATACGGTACATAAATGAAATTTACATCCTTTTTTTTCCCCACAAATTGAGCTTTCTTTTGGTGGTATTTGATCGCCTGTGCGGTTTTTATTTTTTGCGCTATAAAAAAAAGGCTGACAATTTTGAGGAAAAAAAACAATATTTTGGACTTTCTGCTATAAAAACATGTCCAGTAAAAAAAAAAAAGGCAAAAATCAAATTTAGTCATACATTTCTGCCAAAATGCATTCTGCGACATGTCTTTGCTAAAAAAAAAACCCAATACGTGTAAATTAATTGGTTTACGTGAAAGTTATAGCGTTTACAAATGGCGGGAAAAGATACTGGGATTTTTATTTTTTTTTTTATACTAATAATGGCGGCGATCAGCGAATTATGGCGGCGATCAGGGACTTATGGCGGGACTGCGGCAGACATTCTGACATTGGGGGGTACTGACTTGGGGTCACTGACATCCCCAAAAACACTAATACAGTGATCAGTGCAAAAAAAAAAAAAACACTGACACTGTACTTATGGCACTGGGGAGGAAGGGGTTAACTTTATTTTGCAGGGAAGGGTTATAGGAGTGAGGGGAGTGTTTTACTAGGGGGTGGGGTGTGTGCTGGGCGGGACAAGGCTGATCAAGAAAGAGAAACTCTTCTTTCTCGATCAGCTCATCCTCGAGCTGACATGGAAGTGACAGACAGCACAGCTACTGCAGCTGTGCTGTCTGTCACTGTTTGCCGCCGATCGCCGGAACATAGCCGCTAACAAGCGGCTGTGACCCGGCGACTGACATCTGCGGTGGTGATCCACGGGACAGATAGGGCGGCGGCGCGCCTCGCGCACGCCCCCTATTTGTTTACAAAACACACGTCTTAAAACGTGGTTTTGCCTGTGAGTGCCGCCCTGCCGCCGTATATGTACAGTGGCTGGGCGGAATGTAGTTAGCTCACCAACTTTTTTACTCAAGGAGATGTTATATTCTTACCACAGCCAAGGAACTGTTTAACAATACAGCTAAAGACTGAGAACATGTACAGTATAGACACCTATTGTTCAGACTTCAAAGAGGTCTAAACAGAATTTGAAGGTACAGTGCCCTGAAAAAGTATTCCTACCCCTTGAAATTTTCCACATATTGTCATGTTACAACCAAAAAACGTTAATATATTTTATTGGGATTTTATGTGATAGACCAACACAAAGTGGCACATAATTGTGAAGTGGAAGGAAAATAAAAAATGGTTTTCAAAATTTTTTACAAGTAAAATATTTTCAGATATTTATTTGTAAAAAATCTTGAAAACCATTTTTTTAGAATCGCAATAGATTAAGGCAAATATACACTATAGATGGATATGCTTTGTTCATTTTCCATTTTATAAGTTTACAGCCACTTTATTCTAAATACTTCCTCACTACAGATTTCTTACAATGTAAAATTAAACCAACCCCAGACCATAATAGTTTCTGTTTATAACACAACTGTAATTTCAGTTTAAATCAGCCTAATACATTGTAGTTTCTTAAAAACAAAAGGTATGGGAAGTCTAATGATTAACTAATTAAATGATATTAATTAAATAATTAAATAATAATTAAATGATTAAATTAAATGATTAATGAAATTTTCATAAGGATCCAGCAAATACGAGGTTGTAAACATTGCTGAAGGCCTCTTTTCTTTGTCGGGGGCTGAGATGCTGTCAGGGATCGCCGCGGCGCTGGTCCCGGCGCATGCGCATTAGGCCTTCTCATGCAGGGATGGGGGCGCTGGGTCCCGGCCCGCCACGGCTAAGACGAAGTCCCGCGCATGCGCACTCGGAGCTGCGAGTGCGCGCCTGGCACCAATGACAGCGCGGGGCGTGATATTTAAATCTGACAGGAATTGCCGAATGGTCTTTCCTGTATCCTGATCCTGTACCTGTGTTTTCTGATTACTGCTGCTGACCCGAATTGATTGACTTGCTGTATTTTCCTGCCCTGACCCTTGGCTTGCCTGACCTCTCTCCTGGATGCCCCTTTATGGATCTGACCTTCTGTTGCTGACCTGGCGTGTGACCCGACCATTCCTTGCCTGCTGCTTTGTACCGCACCGACCCCCCGGCTACCGACTCGGCTTGTCTGACCTAGCTTTAGCTCATCCATCCATCCGTCCATCCATCTCACTGGGACCCCCCGGTCTCCTCACATCAGACTCTTACCCTCTGGCGGACTCCTCTACCACTGGTGGGTATACCCGGTAGTCGCGACCTGGTCTCGGAGCGCTCCAAGTCCATCCCCACCATCAGGGGCCCTGGTGAACAAGTGCTCCGGAACTTAGACTCCGCGCTCCAGGGAAGCCTGACCAGTGGGTTGCTAGAGGTGCTGTCAGGTGGTCCCTTACAGATGCAGCCAGCAGGAGCAGCAATTGGTGTCTGTCAGGGTCTTAAGGGCCACATGAATCATTTGTCTAGGGAAAGTGAATTCCACAGATGGTGGGGATGACCTGAGGGAAGACTTAGCAGAATTATCTCTGGCCTTCTGTTTTGCAGTGGATGCCCTGAAAATTCCATTTAGCAGATTCACAGTTAGGAATTTGTCCATTTTTAATCATATTTTTATTAATTGTATAAGCAAGAAGACAGACGTAAAAGCAGAGAAACCAACTGTTAAAGCATAACAGTTCCAAAATATGAGAAAGAATGTACAAATATTAATTCATGGGGAATATAGTACAATCAAATAGCAAAAAGAAAGTATGAAGTCTCAAATAAAAATCATGGCATAAAATTGTTAGAACATTTAAATATATATCTGTAATGTGAGTCACATAGCAGTGAAGCTCAATTGTGAGCAGGGGCAGACTGACCATTTAGCCACTCAGGTACTGCCCAAGGGCCCGGGGTCAGTAGGGGGCCTCATGGGATGCCCCTGGTACCTTTCATAGGCTTTTTTGGGTGTGGTTTGAGTGTGGGCAAGGACACAGGGGCCCCATGATTTCCTATTGCCCCCGGGGGCCCCATGAGTTGTCAGTCCACCCCTGATTGTGAGTATAGAATTTTGTGTTTGTTTATACTCAATAGTTTAGAAGGAAAAGAAAATGCAGTTAAGGTAACAGGTCTTGAACAATCCCAGACCTAACAAAGAAAGAAGAAGGCGCATAATGGAATGAGCTCTAGCACATTATGCACAATTAAGGACACACACCAGCTATATCAGAGGATATTCAGTCCATGAATAGTCATATAATAGATAAGAAAAAAAAATATGGTGGAAAGCCCCCATTGAGAAAGGAGGTACTCTCATGTGACCCAAGTAGTTTTAAATGTAACCGCTTAAGGACCGCCCTATAGCAGATATACTGCTACATGGTGGCACTTGTATGCAGAATTACGTATATATACATAATTTTGCATTTCCGGGAAGGGGGCGCACGCAAGGCGTGCGTACCCTACCCAACCGCCATTTGCAGCCACAGATGTCAATCACTGGGTCCTGGCCGGCAATTACCCGCCAGCACCCGGTGATTACCGAGCATCTCCGATGGAAAGGAATATTGTTTGTTTACAAACAATCTTCCTCCCTGTCAGCTCAAGCAACACTGCTCAGGATGTCTGTGCACAGTACAGCCATAACCGATCAGTGTGCTTACAATGAAGGTGTATAATCCAAACGCACACGTTCCTGCGTAAAAAATGGCTGTGTGTATAAGTGGGTGTTGCAGTGACTGTCGGCTGGAACCGGACAAAATCAGCAAATAAAAAAATGTCACCAGCACACCGAGGATCACCAATATGGGTCCAAAGGATTTAAAAAGCCATCACATAGTTACAGCAAGGCAACGTTTCGGAGTCTCGCAGGACCCCTTCATCGTCACATGCCTGATGAAGGGGTCCTGCAAGACTCCGAAACGTCTTGCCTTGCTGTAACTATGTGATGATTTATTAAAACCTTTGGACCCATATTGGTGATCCTCGGTGTGCTGGTAACATTTTTTCCTTGCTTACAATGAAGCACACGCCCCCACCCCCTAGTAAAACAATCCCAGCACACAGTTAACCCTTTGATCACCCCCAACATTAACCCCTTCCTGCCCAGTGCCATTTATTACAGTATCAGTGCTTTTTTTATTAGCATTGATCACTGTATTGGTGTCTTTGGGGTTTCAGTGACACCTAGTTCCCCCCCAGTGTCAGAATGTCCGCCACAGTCCCGCTATAAAGTTGCTGATCGCTGCCATTACTAGTAAAAAATCAAAAATCCCCATTATCTATACCACCATTTGTAAACGCTAAATATAATTTTCACGTAATCCAAATTAATTTACACGTAGTGGGATTTTTTTTAGTAAAAATATGTAGCAGAATACATTGGACCTAAATTTATGACAAAATTTTGATCTTTTGCATTTTTTTTACTAGATATATTTCATAGCAAAAAGTCAAAAATATTTTTTTTTTTTTC